ATTAAATATATATATATATATATATATATATATATATATATATATATATATATATATATATATATATATAAAATCACGAAGCCCCTTAACGAAATGTTGCTCGCCTTTTTTATCTTCTAGAAATAGATTTCACACTAGACAAATTATAATTTTAATTATTTTCCTAATATTTAGGACTTCTGAATCAAATAAAATTTTATTTATTAAACTTTTTCTTATTTGGACTAGGTAAGAAATCCTAATATTTAGAACATTAAATAAGTATGTTATTGTTCCATGTTTAGCTTTTGTGGAAGTTGGATCAATAACGACGACAAAATATAATGTCAAGCAAACTTGTATCATGTATAACTTGTGCAAATTTTATACGTAGAATAATGGCAAACACTTTAAAAAGTTATCCCTTTTCCAAATCAACTACTAAAAGTTTGTTTATTTAATCATTGCTTTGATTGTGAGAAGCAGAGCAAGGAGAAGTAAATAGAACAGAGGTCTCGTCATTTCTGAACTTTGATTACATTTCTTACGGTTGATGAAGAAAAACTCGAACGTGTAGTGCAACTATAGATAGAGGAAGATAATCTTTTATAGTAACAGTAATTACATTGATAAAGTTTTGATTATATTGCAGTTTCACAAATCTTATTGAATTCACATACACAAACCTAAACTAACATCTTATGTATGAACTTTTAAATAGGATTTAAAAATCAGTTATTACTCTAATTATATAATATAAATTATTTATCTATTTAGAAAAATATAACATAACTGTAATGTGCTAATTTTATAAAAATAATGGTTAATACTCAAGAAAGTTATCCCTTTTTCAAAATTAATTAAAGTTTTATTTATTAAATCATTCTTTTTTTTTTTTTGTACTATGTAATAAATCTCAATATATGACTTTAAAATTATTTAATATCTTAATTACCTAATATGAATTACTTGTTTATTTGGACAATGTATTATAACTGTAATTCTTTACATGTTACCTTTGAACTATATATATGAACCATGCATAATACATTTGCATAACAAATTTGGGCTACTTTTCACCTAAATAATATTTTTTACATTATATTTGAAAACTACAATTAACAATTAGAACAAGCAACTGTATGAAAATTATAAAAGATACAAAGAGATTGGAAGAAATAGAGATCAGAAAAGTAGTTGGCAATAACTATTCTGCAAATACAAAGATTCAAAAGTGACATATGATTATGTTAGTTTTTTTTATCCTTTTGAACATAGAATTCATAATGAATAAAATTATAATTATAGATAAATGTTTATACCATGAGAAGAGCTTTAAGAATTTGAATCAATATAGAATAAATTATTTTCGTTAATGTTGATAATAAATAATTAAGTGTCTAAATTATATAACTAACTAGCAAAAGAATCATATTCCATTATTTTCTAAATTCATCATATAAGAAAAAAATTCAAATTGACAAACTCTTAATTAGGGACATAAATTTATTTTTATAGAAAAAGCATTGGTCCTAAAAGCAACCAGAAAAATAAAGCAAATCCAATTATAATATTGTATTAAGAATCAAATTGATAATATGTAACTTGGCTCATAACACATTTGCTCCAACAAATGACAAGTCTCTATATTTATTTTATAATTAATTTTTTATTGTAATATATTAACTAAAATTAGTCATTTTTGGAATTTGGATTGTCACATATCAAAATTTTAAGAGATATAAGCTAAACTCCTCATTCCTAAATCTCTAAAAAATTAAAACATTAATTTCTTTTTTATTTATATTAATTTTCAAATCTTTGAAGAATCTTGATAAAAGTATTTTTGTGTTTTTTATTTTCAGTATTAGGTCAATAAATTATCAATAATATTCATAAAATATTCTAGCAAAAGCCCCTCAAAATCACACTAAGGCATTTGCAGACTTTAGTGGGACATGATTACTTCCTTTATTGATAGCTAAATGGAGTCGCATTCATCATTTTTAGGAACTTATAATTTTTTAAATTTTTTAATTTATAACTCAAACACATTATTTGATAATATCTAAGTAATTTTTTAAACGTATGTACTCATTAATATGGGTACACCCGCAAAGCGCGTACCCTAAGATTAGTATATATATAGTACAAACAAAAACCCTCATTGATAGCTGAAAAGATTGGGAGCGTACATATAAGGTGTAGAGATCTCTTAATGGTGTGAGCCCTTTTGAAAAAAACCGTGTGGGTCTGGCCTAAAACGGACAATATCCTTACGAGCTAAGTTAGTTGCGGGCTTCGGTTGCCATAATACTCTAAAATTAACCTGTGGATCGTGACAATGGACCACATGAAACTTGTTTCAAGGGGGAAGAACCGTGGATCGTGGTAATGGGTCACATGGAACTTAGTTCGAGGGGGAAATATATATGGTGTGATTTTATTCGCTTTGAGCCAAGTCCGTACGGTTTTTCCCAAAAGGGCTCACACCATTGAGAGATCCCTATACCTGATATGTAAGCTCCCAATCTTTTCAGCTATATATATATATATATATATATATATATATATATATATACCTTCTTAAGAAGTACTTCAACTCACTACATCAAAACACAGTGTAACACTTCCATTTTTCTGATTATTCGCAACAAAATATTTCTACTTCTAAATTATAATAAAATTAAGTAATAAAACTTACTAATGCATGCATAGCATTAGTTTACCTGAAACTTATTATTCATCAAATATGTTTGTTTGTAGCTCGTGTAGGGCATCCCAAATTAAGTATACTTTGACGTAACCTCAAAGATCAACTCCATACTTAGAACAAGAAAATGAATTTATTGTCCCAATTCAAGAAAAATATGATTACTGCCACCTCTTGAGAATCACATGATATTAATTAATGATTTTATATTTATTTGTAGCATCAGAAAAAAGATCATGTAAAATGCCAAAACCCAATGGGCTGTTTAAGCACTTACATAGTAGGTAAAGACGGGTGGAGCTAACTATATATTTTAGCTACTAATTATCAATCCCAACGTAGAGAAAATTCCAAGTGGTTCAATAAATTACAAATGCAAAAACCATAATGTTATTTACAAGGAATCAAAATACATTATTAAAACACAGAATATCATTAATAGGTAAACAATGCGCAAGAAATTCAGTTGATTTGGGCAACGATGTTTTCACGTGAGGTTTTTAAGATCACAAGAATTTTATCACTGAACCATATATAAATATCTGTTATTCCTCCAGTTGATTACAACTCTCTCATAATTAACTCGTCATTAGTTCATAAACTTAAGTTGGAATCTCAAGTTTGCTATTCTAGGTTTCTTGTAATACCTTTTTGCTTACTCCTGATCATTGCATCAAACGGTGAGTTAAATAAATAAATAAATAAATACACAAGGAAAATATTGTTTCCAAAATTGATATATCCATTAACCTTGCTAGCGTTTGATAGAAATTTGGTTGAAACTTGAAAAAAGAGTTTTTAAAATTACGTAGAAAAATAAGTTTTGGAAGTTGAAGTTTGTTTGAACATGCATTATTTTGCTACAAAAAGTTCAAGTTTTGTGAGTGGAAGAAAAAATTTCCTTCCGCCTTAAATCAGTTTTTGGGAACTTGAAAAAAAAAAGTTATACTTTTTTTCAAAATCTGACCATATTCTATAAACAAACACTGTTTTCAATTTATTTATTTTTTGGAAAAAGTAGCCAAAATCTATGGCCAAACATGAGCCCAGAGTGCTAATTAACATGACAATTTTTTATTCTGCTTTTTGCGCAGACATTAGAGCTGTGGAGGCTAGTAGATTCATTGGTAATGGAGGGATGATACCACCCGAACCTATCTGCGAAAAATTGAGTTCTTCATTTAAGGGGCAATGCATCATTCCTCTAGATTGTGATAATGAGTGTAAGAGGGAAGGAGATATTGAGGGCAAATGTCTCTGGAAAGGATGGCACAGGGGATATGCTTGCATTTGTGTCTATGCTTGCATTTGTGTCTATGCTTGCTGATAACTGAAATCTTCAAATTCCACAACCTAGAATTACACACACACACACACACACACACACACACATATATATATATATATAGTTGCTTTTGGTAGCTTATTCAGAATAAGCAAATTATAGGTGAACTTGTCCCTGCTGCTTCCTGCATGTATTGGATTGACAATAAAAGAGGAGAGTTGATGAAGAAAAAAACAAGTGGAAGGGCAACAGAGCAGTTTCACATGCTTATTAAGTTTTGATATGTGATAGTTGTCGCACCAGTAAAAAGGATCACATTTATCATCCCTATCTAAAAGCTTAAACTTTTCCAGCAGACAATCCTTATCCATCAGATGAGGTCAAATAAAGTTCCCACAATAAGCATACTGAAGAACAATTCTGGAAAACGAACGAAAATGACATAATCTGCTGCATCCAACTTTATGATCATAATTCCAAGGAAGGAAGACGAGATTAATGAGTGTATCAATAAAATGTAACAAAAATTAGCATCATAAAGTGCCTTAAGACAAATTTATATCCAAATCTATAGAACTCTATTTGTGATGAAGCAAACAGAAACACTAGGTATGAGGAGGATAAAGTAAAAGATTCATAAGAGCTAACTGAATTCTCTGAAGCGATTATATTTCTTTTGAGCAACCAAGCACTATCTTCGTAGTTTTCGCGGTGAAGCACTAGTACAGTTAATCACATAGCAATTAGCATACCTCACACTTATAGCAAGGATAATCAGACAAAATTTCGAGATCTCCAGCGCGTTTATTCTTTTGCAGATTGCTTAGCACCGACAGCAAAGAATTCTGTAATGACTTCAAGGGGCATGCCTTTAGTTTCAGGAACCTTCAGGAAAACAAAGACCCAAGCAATGGCACATACAATAGCATAGATGCCAAATACACCAGCAAGTCCGATAGAGGTTAGCATAACGGGGAGTGAGTAGGTGACAATAATATCTCCAAACCAAAATGTGAGAGCACATATAGCGATGCATAAGCCACGGACACTGGTGGGAAATATCTCGGAGCAGAGGATGTTGGGGATTGGACCGAAGCCTGTGACGAAGCAGCAAAAGTAGACCACAACACTAATGGTGGAGATCACAGCATGCGTGACAGCACCCATGGTAATTACGTTGCCTAGGACTAGTACGATCAGTGACACCAACAGAACAGGCAAAGTAGCCAGCAGAAGCAACCTGGCGAAGAAACAGATGATTACATTAGTCAAAAGTGGAAACTATTACTTGTATAAAGTTGAAATGATTTAAGTCTGACCAGAGTTAGCATCAAAGGTGAAAACAAGTCTAGCTGGTAATATTCTTAATTTGTATTAACACCTTATTCAAACTCTGTCTAAGGCATGTATTCCAAGTAAGTGATATGGCAATGCTTGATATTTGTTCTATTTCCAGTTTTCACTAAGATTATGGAAATAAGAGAACTAGCGTTACCTTCTGCCAGCAATGTCCATCAGTCTCATTGCAATGCCTATACTGGGAAGCATTAACAAAGTAGTGACGGCGCTAATGAGGAAAGATGCTGAGTCTGAACCAATACCCAAATTTGATAGCAGAACTCCTACTCCTGCTTGTTCAAGAATTTGAGGAGTGTAATAGAGAACCCCGTTTATACCAGAGAACTGTTCAAGGAACAAAACAGAATCAGTCCCCGCATCAACAACAATAACAACCACCAAAACAGGAATAACAACTCTCTGAATCGCAAACAAGTTGAGTCAGCTATATGATTACTTTTTTTTTATTTTGTGCAAAGGTAGAGAAATCAGCTTTATGAATACTCAATGTACAGCTTGTTCTATTTGGAACCATTTAATACTACTCAATGAGCTGTCTTTTAATACAAATTAGGGGTTCTCTAAACTAGAGTTTCTAACTAAACCCCTAACTAGAGGTTCTAACTCTCACATTTATCCTAGCAGACATATAAATCTCTTGAACAAACTAAGTAGCCTCCTAGCAAATACTAGAACCTATGTAACCGCACTAACATGAGTAGCATCAAATCATCTAGTTAATATTTGCTTATACGGATCTTCTCTTCCATTTTATTATGTTCTTTGCCCAAGTCCTCAAGGACAGAAGTTTAATTTTTAGCACAAGACAGGGAGGTAAAACCAGATATCGGTTGAAAGTTAATTAACTAAGAAAATTTGCAGACACAACCAAGTGGAAGAGCTCTCCTCTCGTTGATGACTCTAAGCAATTGCTAATATATGTGAATATGGTCCTATGAGGCTTTATCTAAACCCAATGCACCAAGGGAAAAGTAAATTGAATATATGAAGGTAAATTTGCTGGACTTTCAATGATGACTCTGGTGAAAAGATTGGTGATAGCCAATAGCACTCCCAGAAAAATCAACCAGACACGACATATACGTATGGCCGTCTTTATTGAAGGCCAAAGAGAGATAATGACACATCCTGATAACGCAGAGCAAAGGAGGTACTGCTAACTGACATCTACTTTTACCCTTAAGCTGCAAACTACATATCCTGATGGTTCCAGGCCCACAATTGCCAAATACAACACAAGCATTAGACATTCAACAATGACAGATTTTCAACTAAAGAAAACTACGGTAGTAAGAATTAGGATTTTCAGCTAAAGCATGTAGCAACAGTGACTAAGAACCTCAGTTGATCGCTATGTAGTCTTTATCTTGAGACAATGTTCGATCCATAATGAACTGTGCAATAAATGGTGATCGCTATATCTCATTTCACTCGACAGATGCCAATTCATATCCGTACTTCATATACTTTCTGATTTGAGCATGAGAGTAGTATAGATAAAGCTAAATGTCAAGTCATTTCCCAATGGAATAAGCAGGAAATTCTTTGAAAAGACCAGTATCATTTGATTTTCTTGTAAATGCCAATGATTATTCAGTAATTAGTTCTGAATACTTATTCCATGAGTAAGACACTAAATGGTGACTATCCTTCACTAATTTTTTCTTAGAATCAAGCTAAAATTAGGTAAGATTTCTGATGGTTCTATATTCTGGAAATATCATATGTGAGAAACTAAAACAACATAATCCCTTTACCTGCTGAAGTATTTGAATTCCAACTCCAACAATGAGAGCGTGCTTGACTCCTGGCTCAAAAAGAGCTCTCCAGCCTGGGCCCTTTGTAATAGGTTCAGATTTTTCTACTGCTTCCTCAATAGTCTGTTGAGCCAATATGCTCTCTGTTCGAAGAACAGACTGACTCACCAAAGCAGCAGCATGTATGAATTCACCTTCTGCAGGAACATCACAACCTGGAAGAGAAACAATGGACCCACGCCGTGATCCAGAACCAGCCTCCTGATGCAAATAAATCCTTTTGAGTGCTCCTTCTTTTTTCTCGTCTTTTTTATATGCTAGCTGCCAACCACCACCTATACCCATACTTGTTTGTTCTCCACCATTTGCAGTAGTGAAATTGCTACCTTGTCTCATGCTTAATGAGGTTGGAGGCCCTTCTGCACCTGTCCCTTGCCGTGAGAGCAACGGGCTCCTCAGATTGTCATCAGATTCTGCCCCAGAAGCATCAGACATATGCTTGTCACCATCCCTTTGACTTTCTTCATCCCAGTTTTCATTTTTAACTTGATTCTCTGCTACATTGAACATGCTGCCAAAATTTGAAAAGAGCATGCTGCGCATACTTCCCATCTCTGGTAGCTTCTCGTGAACACTGCCAAATAGAGTGACCATTGGATCCATAAGAGTACTTTGATTCGCCACACTCCCATGACGGGAGACCAGACCAAGAGTACTTTGTCCAGTCACAGGTTTGGCTATCCACGAAAGCCCCTCTTCAGCTCCATACAACTTGATCCGATCCTTCTCTTCTACATGCTCCTGACTATCAGCAAGTTCATTGTCCGGACCAATTATGTACTCCTCTATAGACACTTCACCTCCAGCACCCATGCCTTCCATCAGCAAGGCCATTTCACCTGCAGATGGAAAAGAAGTAAGTGTATGGAAAACTCTAATTTGTATCTTCCTTCCTATTGTATCTTCATAGTAGATAGCTCAGCATGATTCTACTTAAAGAGAGGAGGGGCATAAGCTCTTCAAAATGTGTATGTTAAGTTAAGCATGACGATCGGTTCCTTGCTTCAAACATGACTAGATTGATGGCAGAATTGACATATCACAAAACCTTAATGCATTTAAGAAATAAAATGCTTAAGAAGTAAGTTATTTTTGTAAAGAAAAATGAAGGCATACCGGAGACATCAACCCTGCCACGTAGTCTCTGTAAAACTTGTTTAGCCTCTTTCATCCGACCTTTACTAACAAGCCACCTTGGAGATTCAGGCAAATAAAACAAAGCCAAAAAGAAATAAGCAAGAGAAGGAATTGAGAGAATCCCAAGCATTAGCCTCCAACTTGGTGATTGTGTCAACGACACCCCGAAGACCATGCAGTATGAGAGAAACATTCCAACACATCCAGTGAACTGAGGAAAGGTATTCAGACGCCCTCTTATTTCTGGTGGGGCAGTCTCAGATATATAAACTGGAACGAGCGTTACAGCAAGACCAATACCAAATCCATCCAACAGCCTTGCTAGAAGCAACACATAAACATTTGGAGCCCACAGCATTACTAATCCGCTGAGGAAATAAAGGACAGATGAAATAATAAGCATTGGACGCCGCCCAAGCATATCAGACACAGGTCCAGAGAAGGTTGTGATCACGGTTGCTCCAATTAGTGACATAGCAACAATTAGCCCTTCTATGGTTGGCTGAGTTTGCAAATTGAATTCCTTCTTGATGTAAAGTACAGCTCCTGAAACATATCATACACGATTATTTTCTCAAAGAGAGGTATAATGCAATTGGATTAGCTTGTCCCATGAACGAGAAAATACGGGTAATGGACATAAAAACCAGATCTTGGCAAAGTTGGAACAGGTAGACAAAGAGACGTGAGGTTGAGAGTCCAGATATTATACAGAATAAAATAAAAACTGAGATTGAAAAAGCAGTGGAAGTTCTCTATATCATCTACTGGCATAAATCTCTAACATGACAAAAACCGTGAAAGACTTTGTTTTTTCAGAGAACACAAAATAAAGAATAAACACCAAGTAAAAGAACATGAGATTAACTAGAAAATACCTGCTATTGTTGCATTGTCCCATCCTTGCAACAAGTTGCCAATGGCAGCAGCAAGTGCAACAAGCACAGCTCCACTCATCCTTAGTAAATCGAATCTTTTGTGTTATGCGGTAAAACTGAATCCCCCCAACTTCTCCTAACTGCAGAAGCACCTAGAATCAGAACACATACAAGATTATAGCAATAAGAACAGATGTATAAATTGCCACAAAAATCAAAATGATAAGGGCAAAGATCACTTTAGCCCACGGCCAATACTATTGACATCCGGTAGCTGCAAAAGTATATAACATTTGTATATTTTTGTATATAACATACAGAAATGTATATATATACAATTAACATACAAAACATATACAGTGTCATTTTCCCAAATGATAACTCCAATTATTCAATGCAAAATTAAAAAACAATACGTGATCATATTCCAGAATGAAGCCAGGAAGAAAGATCCTATATAAGGCTCCAAGAATCCAAGATGTAGATATCAGTAGTCCTAGAACAATTTCTGAACCCCACTACTAAATAAAGGAACAGAAAATCCATAAGGACTAAATCATCATATACTTATAATCAGGAAAGAGAGCATAAAGAGATATCCAATTTGCATATCCTATAATTGGTAAAGAAAAAACTCCAAGACTTTTGGATTAAAATAACTTTGGCAAAAGATTTAACCATATTTGATGCATAGCACATGAAGCATCCAAACGGGTGAAACAAAACTAAAGCATCTCTCTTTACACTCAAAAAAAGAAGAAAAAATGATATATTGAAACAGATCAGAGAAATGAATAATTATTAATATGATACATGAAAATGGAACAAACCTGGGAGACAGAATGAAAGTAAAGGCTCCCAAATGTGAAAAAAGTGAACACATTAATAAGTTGGTATTTTTGTACCCTCAAATGTAAAGCTCTACAATGCCTATAAATATATAGACAATTTGTCAGGTTTGTAAAATCCCAATTACCAAACAGAAAACAGAGCTGTACTTTTGTTTTTCTCTTTCTTTCTCGTTGGGAAAGAAAGAATTAATGTTAATGTAACTTAGGATACAGACAATGCCACCATATGGGAGAAAGAGAGAAGAAAGAAATGGCAGACAAAGAGAGAGAGATGGGATCGTAAAACTAAGGGACGTGAATCGGTGATCTGTTCTTTTTGCCTTTACACAATTATATACTCTTACTTGGTTCTCATTATTACAATTATGAATTATGGTACTTCATTCATAGGAAAAGATTCGGAATTTTCTGCGTTTTCACTGTAACTAATTGACGTCTGACGCTGACACTTGTCGGCGTTGTCGCGCCAGGGGATATTCCTTTTTTTTTTAATATTTTATTTCTCATATATTCTTTGGCATTTTCTGAGAACTAATTACTTATGGATCAATTGGTTAGTGCGATAAAGGATAATAATCTCGGGATCAAATGTGAAATTATTTAATTTTGTATTTGATTGTATGTTTTAATGCGAAATTAATAATCTTGAAATTAATTATGCTACAATTATAATATTATTCCTATCCTACGTTGGGGTGGAATAATAATCATGAGATAACTAATTACTAGATAAATCACTAAATGACAGTGATGCACGTCTCCAAATCTCTTCTTCCAAAGTCCTTAAAAAAAATTAATATTAAAAACAGAAATAAAAGTTCATCCAAATATCAAATACATATTTAATATTATATTACGTATATCTTATTTTAATCCAATGAACCGATATATACCAATAAAAGTATATTTATTAAATAATCTCATTATTATTTAATTCTCATATTATGATTCGTCAATGGAATAATTAGTTCTCCAACCAAACGACTCTAGTATGCATGATAATTTTAATTTACACTCAGATTTGTATGTTAAAAATATTGATTTATCATGGTTACTACTTACTGATAAAATTAAAGTGATTTAATAGGTTGATATTATTGATTTATGTGATTATCTCATCTAAACACCAAAATTATTATAAAGAACATATTTATTTTTAAAATTATGTCTTCAACGTATAGATCACGCCCAACTACGCCTCCTAAGAGGTCTAGCGGTCGTTGCAAATATAATCCGGTTTACAGTCCGAAGTCGAATCCCACGGCGAATTAACCTATTAATCACAACCGCTAGTTCCACAAGAATCCAAGTAATCAACCTTCAGAAATATCGAATAATGAGTTGATTGTTTACTAACTAAAAGCAAGGTAATTAGAAAGCTATAATTTTTAATACTAACAAAGCAAATATTGTAGACAAGATTGGAAAGGTCTAGGGTTTTGATTTCCCCTATTGTCGGAATTCTCCCCGCTACGTTTTCTATAATTTCGCCTAAGTATTCTCTACCTATCGTGAGTACTCTGAGTGTCGTAGCTCTCTCTCAAGCAACTACCATAATTTACTAGACGTATTCTCTCGAACTACGCTAGCTGGCACTAATTTACCACTCACTATGATCGCACCAAGGTTTCGTTATCTCTAATCCCGCCTTTTAAACCATCCGTATTGATCTCTCAAATACGTTAGGAGTGGTGTTGTTCAACAACTACCTAAATGCGTACTCTCTCTCTCGAGCAGTACGCACTAAATAGGGACAGTCAATTAAGGGCCCTTCAACCAACAACAATAATAATATAGTTGAACATGTAAGAAAAGTAAATGGCGAATTTATATTAAACGCAATGGAAAAATCATCCTTCAATAGGTTCCATCAAACCCTAGATTAGGATTTAGCTACTCATACTCATAGTAACAATATCCCAAGTATTTTGCATAAATAAATTACAAAGTAAAGATGAAGGAATGCAAAAATCGGTGATTCTATCTCCCAACGAGTGTTCACGAGCTATTCTTGCCTCCGGTGGCAAAAACTCCTCCAAAAGTGGTGTTTAATGTCTATTTATATGTGTAGGAAAAGCCCTAAATGACATAACCCCAGTCCAAGTCCAACAAGGAGACGAAATAAGTCTTCAAAATACGGACCAGGCTCGCCTCAAACCGTGCCTCACGAGGTAAAACGCGAGATGAACCTCGCCCCAGACCATGCGATGCCTGCCTCCACGCGAGCTCGACCTCGCCTTATCCCTCGCGTCGCCAGCTCCAACGCGAGCTCAAGGGCTCGTTTCGCCTGCTGCTTCATTTCTTCCGCTGCTCAATTCTTTCTTTCGTCTTTCCAACTATTTTCGAGCACTCTTTATACTTTACATATTCCTTTTGCTCTAATTTCATCTCCAATGCACCTACACATAAAATAGACTCCATTACGCGCAAATAAAGTGTAGTTTAACATTAAAGCACATAAAATGTAAGGTAAATAATGTACTAAAATATAGAATTATAGCCACACATCAATACCCCACACTTAAACAGTGCTCGTCCTCGAGCAATCAAACTACACTTATAGACACGACCTTTTTAAGCAATTCTCTTAACTCATCACACCAAGAATCTTTAAAATAGACTAACCACAAAGGTGTAATATCCTCACCTCAAGATTTGACTCACAAATACCATGCCTTATTCGCAATTCACTTACTTACTCTAACATGGAGACCAGTGACACTACCTTTCCTTTATGAATCACGCGCCCTCACCCAACAAAAAGCTTAGTTCCACCCACAATGAATTTCAAGAACGTACAAACTCAAGATAGGAAAAATTCACTCGCTCTCAGAAATAACATTCATATACCACAAATGATGCACCATAGGCTTGTCCATAGTGTAATACTTTACTAATCGAGCTCATTCAGTCTAGGATCAAGTAGGACTTTAATTGGTTGTAATGTAGGTTGCGGTCGGGTAGGATACATTTGGATATTAGTGACTACACCTCCCTTAAGCACTTTAATACATATACTTTAACACTCAAGCCCATACTTATGTCAAACCAAAACTCCACCTTTACTTCAATTTATATTACCCCATACTTCTTTAAGCACAATTACATCACTAGCCACCACCATCAAGAATTTTTTTTCATAGAATACAACTATCTATCTATCTATCTATATATATATATATATATATATATATATATATATATATATATTCTTTTCTTCAATCCATGTGGCT